GGTGTTGTAAATAAATGTTAATAAGCAGGCAAATTGTAAATAGAGATTCCCAAATAATGAGAATACACCTTAATTGTATTTTTGTCTTTTCTCAGTAAAATGCATCTGGCGGTACTCATCTTGAATATCCCTGCTAACAGCTTTGCTATCAAAGTGTAAGCTGACTTCCAACCTCGGCTTCTCTGCATGGATGATTTCTTGCATTTTCTTTTAACCGTGTGACTAAATGCATGAACACAAATGCTCATACACATACACACAGATGTAGCCATATAGTACCCATACTATATTATGTTCTCCAATGCATAAATGTGCCATTTAATTCCTCATTGATTCAATACACAAAGTAGCAAGTGTATGGAAGAGTCAATATCATCTCTACTCAAATTTATTAAAAATGAAGACTCCTGGTGCTTGCCCAGAGCTGAGAGGTGTTGCGAATAAGGAGTCACTATAAATGGGCCAAAGTTATTTTGGGGGATGATGAAAATGTTCTAAATTAAATTGTAATGATGGTTGCACCACTCTGTAAATGTACTAAAAATTATTGAATTGTGCACATTAAATGAGTGGATTTTATGCTATGTAAATTATATCTCAATAACTCTGTTAATAAAAACAACATGATGTATCTGCTACACAAGCACAGGCCTGCAGAACAATGGGAGGACGTATCCTCACCGGTCAGGAATTCACACGCACTGAGGGTTTTCCATGTACAGTTGCCACATTCTTGCGCAGCTTTATTATTCACCTGTCACAAGAAAAGCTGCAAAGCTCTATGTGCCGGCATGAGTTGGAAATGTCTATTAACTTGTCAGCAAATGAAAAGGGTGAAGGGGTTTTCATCTCTCCAGATGAATTGGAACAGGTGCAGCATGTCTCCAAGATCGCTAATTAAAACTACTCAGGACTTATATTTATTTTACATGAAAAAGAGTTTTACATGTGTTTGAAAACTGTATGGAAATATAGCTTTTAAAAATTTGACTCTACAGTCGAGCTTGATTTCTGCTTTCTATCCGTTCGTGAATGGAACCCTTGCTAGGGCATGTGTCACATCCACTTTCATATACTTATTTTATATTTCACATACCCATATAGCAAATGTAAGCTCTATTTATTACCAAGAGGATTTGAGCTCATTTGGGTATGTCTATTCTTTCAATTTGTGCCACTTCCATTTGACTCCATGGAATGACACTGATACTGTTTTTTATATCATCTTTGGAGAATTTGAGGCTCTCGCCCTCCCAAATTCTGTGTATTTGTTTGTAGTTCAAGGAAAGGGAAATAAAGTGCATGGAAAGGAAAAGGAACTTAGATGGGTCTGTGTTATACATTCTTAAAAAGAGTCTGAACCTGAGCATAAGAAAACCTGTATTTGAAGAACTTATGAAATTTTAAACAAGCCACTAAGCCTATCCGTTCCTTAGATATTTAATCTCTTAAGGCCTAGCTCAAATGTCACTTCTTTCACAAAGCTCCCAGAGATCTCTTTAGCTGGAATCAGTATGTCCTCCTTCTATCCTCCTGTAAAACTGTGCACCCCTAGTACATTTTGGAGCACATTGGAGGAGGTATGCAGGGGTTGGCAAGCTGAGAGACAGTATAGTATTATGGTGAAGATTTAGATCCTGAAGTCAGAAAGTATCTGGGATGAAATCCCAGGCTTAGCACTTACTAGCTGTACAACCTTGGAAAAATCTCTAAATTTCTTGTCTACAAAATTAGAATAATAATGGTGTTTGCCTCGCTTGGTTTTCTTATGAAGGTTAAGTGGAGGAAGCCAAGTAAAACACTTCAAATACTGACTGGGACAGATGAAATGTTCCAGAAAGGATGGTTGCTGCTATTATTTACCAAGAAGGCAGGGCAACATAGTAAAAGAAACTTGAAAAAGAAAAACTGTGTTAAGTTCTAATTCTATAGGTTGCTAGCCCTGTGATCTGGGAAAATCCATTAACGATTTGACCATTAAGTCCTTCATCCATAATGTTAACTAGGTCAAATAGAGTTGCTAAGAGCCAAACGCAATTGAGGGTATGAACACGTTTTATAAGTGATAAAGCATTGTTTAAGTCTTAGATATTATTTGGAGGAAACTGAGTATATAAGAAAAATATATAATTTGTAGCCCATTAGAACCATGTTTAAGCTCTGGAATTATCATTCGCTAACTTTGTGGCCTTAGTAAATTACTTGTCTCTGTCTGTCAATTTCACCACATTAATGAAAAGTTAAAATTGCTATTGTAACCCTAAAATAAAACAATATTTAAGTACAGCATTCACAATCAAATACATAGCAGGTCTCAAACTGCTGGGCTCAAGCAATTTGCTGACCTCAGTGTCCCAAAGTACTGGGACAACTGGAGCAATATCACTCTTGATGCAGGAACAAGCAAAGATTTCACAGTGAAAACGCCAAAAGCAGTCACAACAGAAACAAAATTTGACAAATGGGATGTAATTAAACTAAAGAGCTTCTGCACAGCAAAAGAAACTATGAACAGAGTAAACAGACAATGCACAAAATGGGAGACTTTTGCAAACTATGCATCTAATCATCAGCACCTGTAAAGAACTTAAACAAATTTACAATAATAAAACATTAACAGATATACAAGAGACATGAACAGATACTTTTCAAAGAAGACACACATGCGGCAAGCAAGCATATGAAAGAAAGCTTAACTGCACTGCTCACTAGAGGGATGCAAATCAAAATTACAATGAGATACCATCTCACACCAGTCAGAATAGCTATTATTATGATGAGAAAAAGGAAGGCTTAGACACTGTTGGAGGTAGTATAAATTAGTTCAACTATTGTAGAGAACCATGTGGTGATCCACAGCATGGGATTCAACCCAGCAGTCCCATTTCTGAGTATATGCCCAAAGCAATATAAATCATTCTATCATAAAGACACATGCGTGTTCATTGCAGTACTATTTATAAGAGCAAAGACATGAAATCAACCCAAATACCCATCAACAGTAGACTGGATAAAGAAAATGTACATATACACCATGGAATACTATGCGGCAATAAAAAAACCTGAGATCATATCCTTTTCAGGAACATGGATGGAACTGGAGGCCATTATCCTAAGCAAACTAATGCAGGAACAGAATATCAAATACTGCATGTTATCACCTATAAGTGGGAGCTAAACGGTGAGAACACATGATCGCATAAAAGGGAACAACAGACAGAGGGACCTAACTAAGGGTAGAAAGTGAGAGGAGGCAGAAGATCAGGAAAAATAATTCATGAGCACTAGGCTTAGCACCTGGGTCACAAAATGATCTGTACAACAAACCCCTGTGATAGGAGTTCACCTAGGTAACAAACCTGTGCATGTACCCCTGAATTTAAAAGTTAAAATCAAAAGAAAAAATAAAAGGCTAAATGTTTAACAAAAAAAAAATGTACACGGCAGAAATAAAATCATTTAATTTCACTCCTTATCACAGTTTATTTTGTTATTTATGTCATATGTCTGTCAGTGATTTCCTGGAGTCAAAAGTAGACAGTGCACTGCTTTGCACATTCCAAACCCCCAGGAATGAATTCACACAATACAGAAAGACTTCAGCCCCACTTGTGAGTTGCTAGGTACGTTTGGTGGCTGCAGCTCACCTTCCAGGCTTTGGACAGAAACCCGATAGGTTCTGGGATATGTTTCTTTTGTCACATCTCAGGTTTAACACAAGACTGAAATGAATTGCCAAATACAAAAGTACTCTGACAATTTCCAATCCCTTTAATATAGAGACATGTGATTGCACAATGGCTGTCGCTATGTCAGGGCAGAGAGCCCTCTGCCTGGTATCAGGCTTCTCCTGCACTTTTCTCTAGACTGGGCACCAGCTGGAGTTACACGTGGCATCAGAAACAGAATTTCCTGGCATCGTGTGGGTCATGGTAGGAACCAGCAGTCAGCCTCCTCTGACAGTACCCCATCTTGAAGAAAGAAGGGCATATGTATCCTAGCTAGCATGGTCCACTGTAACCACTAGCCCACCAGTTTTTAGGGAGTTGGGAGCTTACGATTATCAACACTACGCTTTCCTTTTGCACTTCAGCCCCAGTAGTGGAGAAGTGAGGAGGATGGAGGTAAACCTTGCCTGAAATGGTTTCTATCTGGCAAGATAGATATGTCCTGGTGCCTGTCTGCTTTGAGCAGGCTTAGGAAGCAGGGCAGAATGTGGAAAGAAAGATCATGAGACTTGAAACTTGGTTTTAGATGGAATGAGAAAAATATATGAATCATATCAATCAGAAAAACATTTCGTTTCTCTAAATAACTGTCATGATAACAGACAGCAACTGCGAGGTCTCCACTGACAGTGGAACAGCCCTGGACCCAACACCAAGTAGCCACTGCTGGCCTCTTAAAGGTAGCTCCGCAAAACCAAAGATCACTTCTGTCTGCCTTTCTGACATCTGTCATGAGCTTACTCCTTCTTGTAAAGCCTTTTCCATTTCAGATCAGCCAGTTACCCAGAGTCAAAGCCCCCAACACTCAGTAAAAATAGAAAGCAAATGGAAGAATCATTAACACAGCAGAAACTATCTAATGCCAGTGGCTTCTTATGACAATACCTTAATCTCAGCTAAGTTGACCACTGGCTGATTTTAACAGAACTAAACAATGGAATGTGAGAAACACATGGCCAGGAGCTGAGGAGAGGGAAGTAAAAGGGAGCCAGGGAGGGAGTGAGAGGGGCTCTTCCCGCATAGCAAGTTACCAGAGAGAACAGGGCCTCATCTCCCGGCCCACTGTTTGTCAAGTCAAAAAGTAAGAAAAAAGAAAGAAAGAAAGAAAAGAATAAAAAAACTGCTATACTTAGTAACACGCAAGAACCATGCAATCAATTCAAACTCAACTAGTAAACCCACATCTTTCCGGAGAAAGAGACTTGGGCCACTTTCAAAGTCTTGCTTATGTGCGGCCACAGGAAGCAACATTATAAATATCCCCTTATGTACCTTTTTTGAGCAGCTGGCCAGGCCCGGGGAGTATCAAGCATTAAACATTAATTTCTCCGCCTTCTGGCTCTTTCCTACTTTGTATCCTCTCCTTTCTTTCACTCTCAAGGCAGAAAGAAACTGGAGTCTGAGTTGCACTGTGAAAAGACAAAAGAGTTTCTGCAGCTTGCAGCTTATCCAATCCAGGCAAGCAGCACCGACTTCAGGTGCTTGGGGAAGCCATCTGTAGCTCTTGAGGCGATGAAACAGGGCTGAGAATGCGGTGCTTTCTGGACGCTCTGCTTCCAGCTGGAAAGACCACCGAGGAAGCTGCTCTTAAAGCACTTTCTGCAAAATTGCCTCCATCCATTCCATCTGGTGTTCTCCAGTGATGGAGAGCTGCCTGGATTGTCCCAGAAACTGAGGCAAGGGCTGCCAGGGTTCCCTCCAGAGAGGCACAGAAATGAGGAAGAAGTGGGGACTTGTGTATTCCAGGTGAATCACAGAATGCTGGCCTTATACCTGTCATGCACAGGCAGCCTGAGCCTGGGGCCAGAGCTCAGTGTACCAGGGGAAGAGAAGCTGAAACACACAGAGCTGAGCTGCCTCTGAAATATACAATCCACAGACTAAATTCTGCTTAATGAAATAAAACACACACACACACACACACACACACACACACACACACACACACACACAGCAACATTTAGCTAAAAAGCTGGATGTATCAGGTCTGAGATGCAATAGAAATATTAAAGGCGTATGAAAAAGGAAGAAATTGTGATAATACTTTGGAGAATGTGAAAAACAAATGAAGAGATCTGAGGAGAGAGAAAGGAAAGTGAGCCAGGGAGGGAGAGAGGTGCTCCTCCCGCACAGCAAGTTATCCGGGGAACAGGGGCCTTCATCTCCCTGCCCACTGTTTATCAAGGCACGTGGGGAATGAAGGCACAGTGTGCTCTTTGTGTGCTTTTTCATCATTTTTTCCATGTGCGCCGATTGAACCAAAGCCTCCGTGTGGCACGCTGACAATGCCCTTTACCCTCCTTTTATCTGGCCTGTTCTCTAGACTTGTCATTATTTTTCAGTCCCCACATGTTGAGTTCCTTTCATCTTTTCTTAGAAATGATTACCTTCGGACCTGTTAAATGAAGAGCTATGACATGGCACATAACGCCTGAGCCCTTTCAAATGGACCTCCTTGAAGAATTCATTTTAATACTAGAAAGGGAGCTTCCTAAATAATCTTTGCTGTATATTATTATCACAAGAGGACTAGAGATGCATCTCTAGGGGCACCTACCTGTTAGGCCCCAGAGAAAAGAGGATGAGGGAAATAGGATCAGTGAATGTGAAATTACCATATGCTCTGGTTTAGGCAATTTTAGAGTAAAAAATATATGTTTCTATTTAGTCAATTATTTATATATAATCTTAATAGTTTTAATAATAATTTGAAGTATCTTACAAAAAAAGACCTGGTTCAGTAATAGACACAGGTAATTAGACTAACAGTGGTGGAAAAGGATATATATATATGTGTGTGTGTGTGTGTGTGTGTGTGTGTGTGTGTGTGTGTGTGTGTGTGTGGAGAGAGAGAGAGAAAGAGAGAGCGAGCGAGCACACCCCCCCCCCACTAAACCATAACTAAGATAGGAACAAAGCATTGCATGTCACTTCCTGGTAGCTGCAGCAAAAATATTGCAGAATGTTTAATTACCAATGGCTGAGAAGAGCATAACATTATTTATTTGGGACACTTTTCTGGAAGTGAGTTGTAAAATATACTTCAGTGTATCTACATGCCTTTATTTAGAGACACAAGCATGAGCAGTGAACAAAGTCCTGGGAATTATTTGTGTGGGTGGCTCTGAGAACCACCCTATCTCTTCAAATGTGTGCTTCCTATGTTTGTGCATGTATGTGAACGCTCTGAAAGTACAATGGGGTCCAGCTGGAGGTAATTATACCTCAGAATTAGCATGAAGAATTTTGAAAACATGGCTGCTCCTCTCATCTCCCAGAAAAGTTCTGTTTGAATGAGTATAATTATAAGGGATCATTCTCAGAAATACAGTTAAAAGAAAACTTCTTCTATGTCCCTTCTGTTCTTATCAGATAATATCTGCTCCAGCAACGGGTAGAGTCCAGAGAGACAGCCTCTGGAGACTGCTTTGCTCTATCTTAACCTAGGCAGGGAGGATCTACAGAAAAGATCTGATTTTGGCTTTCTCAAAGTTCTTTCAATTATAACCCATATCCTGTGTCATTCTGTCTCACTAAAGTGTTCAATATTCTAGTATGGACATCATTGCCCTGACCTCAATAACTTTTTTTCTGAAATGTACATCTCTAGTTTGATTCAAAATGTTCACGTTCTAAAGAATCAGAGTGTTTCTTCTTTCTCAAAGTGGTTCTTCAAGGTAAGTCCTCTTCCTTCTCATGACTGAAGTGTAGGATTGGGTGATCATCACTACCAGGCTTTTAGCAAAGCTCTGAAAACCTAATCCTGGAATGTGGAACCCCTGAGCAAAGATGCAGCAACAGTCATTCAAGCCAAATTTAAAAATGACTATCATTTGTTGACGTTTACTAAGGGCCAAGAATATGTAATCTTACCAACAATCTCTATGAGACCAGTATCGTTTTACTTGTCTTATAGATGAGTAGCAGTGTTAAGGAGAGGAGAAGCAATTTTATCATGTATCATGCATGCACCAATTGGTCGACAGTACACTTTAGTCACAGGTTTGTCACAAAATCTGTTCTAAGAACCTTGCATGACCCAGATTTCAGGCTTTCAGAGATATTCTTGAGTTACCCATAGATCTGTCCAGCAGTTATTACACTAAACACGGGTTGCCCTGTGAATCACTATTTACAATCATGGTGCATTCTATCCCCTTCAGGGTGTTACACAAGATAGAACCTATTTTGGAAAGAACTTTAAAGCAAGGTCAAGGGCATTGTCAAATTGGATACTATACTCGAAGAATGTCTACACTGGTCATCAAGGAAAACAGGGCCCAACAAGGAAAAAATGGACCCTGGAGTCATAATGTTGGTGTCCAAACACTGCCCTGCTGCTTATCAGCTGTGTGATCTTATCCAAGTTACTTAATAATAGATCCATGCCTGAGTTGCTTTTTCTATAAAAAGACAATGACAATAGTGCCCATCTTAGATATTTCTCATGAGGATTGACTGTGCTCTTACAGAAAGGTGTTTAGGAAGTATGCAACCCAGAGTGAGCACTTAATAACCTGAAGTTCTCACTGTTTTTAGTTGAAATTAATCCGTTTGTCACCTTCTTTGGACATCACATTCATCATGTTCTTTTTCTTATAAACATGTATTTTTAGGGAAGACTAGTGAGTCCAGTGATACTTGAGGTTACTTCAAAGATAACCCCTTCCAAGGGTCCTAAAACGCAAACTTTTAACACCCTACAAAGTAAAACTTCACTTTTGCTCCTCTCCTTCAAGCACTACTGTGCCTTCTGGCTCGTAACTCAGAGCATGTGAATAAGGGAAACTTTCTCTCTGGCTCAGCCTCCCTTTTTCTTTCACTCTCTCAAACAAACACACATCATTTCTTAAGAGATCCTTTTTCCATATCACAGTCTTCTTTTTTATGTATCCCAATTTTACATTTAAAAGACTACCTATGCCGAGAATTGTTCACTGATGTTGATTTATGAGACTTATGCAAAAAAAGGACAGTCTTACCGATGCACATATCTATTTGGCACGGCAGCAGTGATTTATAAAATGACAAGCTGGTGACACTCATATAAAGGCAGCTTTCATGTAGCAAGTGTAAAGGCAAAAAGCAAATCTGCTACCCGTTGAATGACAAACTCCTCTGCTATTTTAAGAAAACCATAAATGCCACCCTAACTTCCCTTTAGTGTCCACCTAGCGGAGGGTGGGCCATCTTAGAAGGGGTGCACAAGGTGAGCTTATTTGTCCTGTTCTTGATCTCTGAAGCTCAGTGCCAGGTTAAGCTGGTCTGTCTTTTTCTAATCACTGTTTATGGGTCTGTCATCCATGAACTTTTCTAAGCTTCATTAAGGCTCTATACATTTTGTATACTTTTTTCTATCCAGATAACCTGCTGGAAAAAAATGACATAAGGTATCAAGCTTCCTTTATTTTTCCTAGCAGAGTGTATTTGACATTTGAATGCGTGTTATATGAAAATGAAACTGGAGAAATTAGACTATGCTTATTAGATTTTTTAAGACTATTATCCAGTCTTAGCCTCAATCATTATTGGTTTGTTTTGATATTGAAACTCTTTATTTCTTCCCTCAATTCAGCTACCACCCACAGTAGTCCTCCTTTCTTGAGATTTAGTGTAGCACACCACACACAAGGGTCCATCTAGGTCTCTAAACCCTCCCCTGATAATGCTCGAACCATCAGACAGGATGGCTACAGCAGAAAATTGATCAAACGCTGTCTGTAGTGAATTATCATGGCCTTTCTCTGACTACAGAAAAATAAACACATTGAATGGAAGTGCACTGCACAACTGTTTCCATTTGTCACATTAGCTAAAAGTGCATTCTTGCATTCTTCCCTGTACTTGCCAGATGGGCTTGGTGACAGCCACAATACTCGTGGCTTCCATTGACAGGTTATTTTCTGCTCATGCTGCATGCTTGTAATGGGTTAGTTGGGGTTCTGTTCTGTGTCATCTTCACTTCTAGGAACATGTTAATGGACCAATCTCTGTCTTGATTCTTGCTAGTCTTGTGTCAGAAGAAAAAGGGATCATGGTAAACTAGGAAAATATCTACTCAGAAGAGACACACAACACTGTTCTCACATAATTTTAGCCAAAGCAAGGCACATGGAAAATAAAATTTTCCTCTAAGGAGGGGCACTAGTGGGATGAAAAATAAAATGTTTTCTATGATGGAGGACTTTTGAAAAATGTTCCTGAATACTATATTGAAAACTCAAAGAAGCAGAAGACAGTCACTATAAAGACATAAAACTGGCCCCCAATGTAAGATGTGCCTGTGTGAGGGATTTATTAGGAAAAACTATTTTGAAATGAATAGAAACATTGGAAATTTCTAGAAAGAAGGAAAAAAGCAGTAGTATCTATTTGCCACATCTTCAGTAGGTCTCCAGGTCAAGAATTTTGACAGAACATGAGAGAGATAAGAACAAGGTCTAATCTTCAGATCCTGCAAGAATCTTCCCAGAATCCTTTTGGTGACAGACACCGGTAAAATCAGAGAAATTGGGACCTGGTTGAAATCAACTCTTCTTCATTCTGAGGATCAGAAAAGAAGAGGGCAATGTCCCTCTTGAGAAGGAAACTGTCCTACCTGGTGAGTGAAATATACATCTGTGGGGCACTAATAGGACAGTATGTACTACAGTCATCAGAAGCACTGGACAGCTCTACATAGAATGGAAATTTTCTTTTTTTCCCAAAAAAGAAAGCAGGAACTAAGAATAGGTGAACGTAAATTACAGAAGGAGAAGAACAGAGAACACTAAAAAATGGGAAAATGAAGAAAGTTGAGGAGCTGAAGGTGAGGAAAGAAAATGGGATTCCAATCAGGGTAAGAGAAGCAGGCAGGCCA